ATAGATAATCATGAGAGTGACGAGTTGTATAAACCACATGGTGTGGAAGTGATTCGTGATAGGAGAGAACGGTTGTGTATGAATGATTGAGTCGAGAATTATGGATGTGTACATGATGAAACATGTTTGGCGATTATCCATTATTATGTTTACGAATATATTTTGATGCATATGATGATTGTGATGAGGAGTGGTGAGAATGTGAAATATATGTATTATTATGTTTACGAATATATATATATGATTATATGCATTGATTATTACGGTAATATTTCTCACTCTTCTGCTGTTTTATAATGCTCCGTGAGGCATTGCAGATTAGGATGGCTGGAGATCCTTTTTGTGAAGTATAGCTTCATTCTTTTGGTCGGTTCGCTCTGATATGTAGCACCGGGTAGTTAGGCTTGTATAGCATTATTTTGGGATACATTGTGTATATGTATCTGTTGGCAGATGTTTTGTAACATGATGATATTTTGAATCAAACTTGGTGATATGTAAATTATATGATTACATGTTTAAATGATTCAATGTTTAGATTTTCCACTTTTAATTCTATATATTGAAATGTGGGTGTAAGGACGAAGTTCCTTTGTTAATAACTACCCCACCGTTGCATGTCTTTTATAGAGCAGGTGTGGTATGTTTTGGTGTTTGATGTGGCATGTCTCTTTTATACCATGTTTTAAACGTTACTCTGATGAAATTTTGAATACGTGCTTAATTGTTTTATTGTTTAATTGGGGGTATAGAAGGGGGTGTTACAGATTTAGTCTCTTGGCCTCCTCTTTTCTTTCCGTTCTTCGTTCCCTTTTTCCTTCGTTCTTCTCACTTCTCTCGTTCTTTCCTCTTCTCTCTTTCTATCGCTCTTTCTCTCTTTCCTCTTTCTATCGTGTTATTTTCTCTAATACTTCCCCCACCCCTTCATATTCTATTTTCCTTTTTATTTCCTATCCCAATAATAATAATAACTAATAAAAATAACATAATAATAATAATAATAATAATAATAATAATAATAATAATAATAATAATAATAATAATAATAATAGTAATAATAATAATAATAATAATAATAATAATAATAATAATAATAATAATAATATTATTATTATTATTATTATCACACCAATTTCCCACGATCTATGGTAATCTCTTCTCTCTCTATTCTAACTTTTCTAATATCTTCTTGCTACCCCTTCATATTTCCTTCCTCACGGTTTCTATCATGACTTTTCATATTTCCATTCTAACTTCCCAATAACCCTTCCACCTCTTATTTTACTTATTCCAACCACTAATATTCCCAATAATAATTATAATATAATAATTATAATAATCATTATAATAATAATAATAATAATAATAATAATAATAATAATAATAATAATATAATATAATATAATACTATTATAATATTATAGTAATATTCAACATAATAATAATAATAGTAATACACCCAACAATAATTATAATTATAATAATAATAATAATATCACACCTATAATAATAATAATATTAATAAGAATAATATAATAATAATAATAATAATAATAATAATAATAATAAATATAATAAATATAATAATAATAGTAATACCCCCACCAATATTACTATTATTCATTATATTATCATATTCACACTAAAGCACCACCGATATTACCATTAGTTATTATATTATTATATCTACACCAATTCACCACCAATAATTCTCCCATATTAGGGACACCCACCAATAATAATATTCATACTAATGATAATAATAATAATAATAATAATAATAATAATAATAATAATAATAATAATACCACCAATATTACTATTATCTATTATATTATTATCTCCACACCACCAATGATCCTTACATATCAAGGGTACTCACCAATCATATACCAACACACCCCACCTAAGGGCACACCAACATAAAATATTTAAAATAATAATAAAATGACTAAATAATTAAAATGGGTGTTACACCATGATCTTTCAGGCGTTCATGGCACACGTTTCTTGTGTGACCCTCCTTCTTACAATGATAACATCGAATACCAGATGTTTCGCCACTAAAAAAATTCTGTTGACTTTTACCTTTCTTCCTGTCGAATTTACCATCCTTTCGCAAGAATTTTCCCTTAATAGTCAAACTTTCGCCCACCGTCGAAGGCTTATGCTCCTTTCGTTTGTTCAAGTCCTTAGAATACAAGGTTGATTGAACTTCTTCAAAGGTCAGGGACTTCCTTCCATACAAGAGAGTTTCTTTGAAGTGAGTATGTGTTCTGAGCAAAGCACACAACAGCAATAGTGTCTGATCTTCACCGTCGATCTTCACATCAATATTTTTCAAGATCAAGAATCAACTTGTTGAACATATCCAACTGCTCATCCAACACTTTGTCTTCACTCATCTTGAATGAATACAAAGCTTGCTTCAGGTAGAGTCGATTCACCAGAGATTTGGTCATGTACAAACTTTCAAGTTTCACCCATAATCCTGACGTTGTAGTCTCTTTTGATACCTGTCGAAGAACCTTATCACCAAGGCTCAACAATATTGCGATGTGGGCTTTCTCAATCATGCCTATCTTTTCTTTTGTCGTTAACGCAACGTCCATGGTTGCCTCCTCCTTCAACGCTTCCGAACAACCCTGCTGAACCAGTAAGACTTTCATCTTCAAGCGTCATAGACCGAAGTCGGTCACTCCGGTGAACTTTTCAATCTCATACTTTGTTGAAGACATCTTTTCCACGCTCACCGTACCAATTTGTTGTGAATCGGATGTCTTGAAACAAAATATAAACGGTTTCTTTATGATCAAGAAACACACAAGGGTTAGGGTTAACAAAGATAACAAGATAAAACAACAAGGATTGGTTATAAACTATTATTCTTTGCTTACTCTTAGAACAAGATTACAAGTATACAAGAATAACAAAATAACCTCTCTCTCTCTCTCTTGAAATTAGGATTTTATCTTCCTATTTTTCCTTGTGCCAAGATTGAGAAACCAGCATCTTATTTATAAGAAAAATAGCACACTAATCTAATGGGTTTTTTAACAATTACTCATTACAATCTAACTTAAACAATTAGGCTTACAAGAAAGGCTCAATTCAACATGTTAACAACCATAGCAATATTGACTAATGCATGTTAGAACAAACCTCGACTACAACACGCATTACTCTCACAGCAGCATGCGAACATACTTCGACCTCATGCTTATTCCTGTTGAACCAAAAGTTACCCTTTGTATGCCTATTTTTTATTCGAGTTCGCGCTTCATACTTTATCTGAAAACAAATACATAACTTATAGCAAAAAAACATGTTCTGATACCCTTCAGAGATGTATCTCCGGTGCATTCTCGTATATGCATCTCCAGAACAATTCAAATGTAAATGGTTTATAGGTGACATGTTTTAAATGTTTAAAATGACTCCGAAGATGTATTTTCAAAATACATTAATGTTTATTCAAAAATAGATGCGTCTGAAGATATATATATATATATATATATATATATATATATATATATATATATATATATATATATATATATATATATATATATATATATATATATATATATATATATATATATATATATATATATATATATATATATATATATATATATATATACTTTAAAAAAATATAAAATGCAATAAAAAATTATCAAATATATTCTCTCTCTGCTCCTGGAGCATTCATCATAATAAATAAATAAAACTAAATAACCATTATTTACAAAAGTAAAATGGATAAACATTCAATTTAGATCCAACAAACATTAAAAAAAAAAAAAAAAGTAAAAAAATATATCTTCATCGGAACATGTGCAAATCTCTATAAAAAATTCATTAATTAAATAGAACAGTTACAAATTTAGGGGAAAAAAAGTTTTTAAACATCAATTTCACAGCAATAAATGATTTAGATAAAATTCCTCATTTGTGGCTACAAAGAAAATACCTCAGCTGGGAATCATTATGAATTGTTGTAGTGAATTCAGAAGAAATTTATTCTGCAAACAAATCAAAATAATTTCAATGAAAATAATTATAGAAAACTTGATCAAGATTAAATGATTTAACAAAAAACCCTAACGAGAATTCCGCCGATGCATATTATTCGAGTCTTATCATTTTAAACTTTAATTTTAGTAAAAAATAATATCATTTTAAACTTTAATTCGTCCTTATCTTCTGAGCTATTTCATACACAGCTCTCGACAATTTCGGAAATTAATACAGTTGAAACTAAAGCATTTCTTTTACAACATGAAATTAAAGACTTGGTACATGATATCAACTAGGATAAAGTATAAAAATAAAATAAAAAATTTAATCCCCAACAAGAATATTTGGGCTATAGGTGCAAAAGGATATAAATTAAAACCTAAATCGATTAAAAAATTGAAAATTACACAATCAAATATACACATTTTCAGTATTCTATATCTTATCAATCTGTTTTTTTTTTTATATATTTTAAAAATAGTAGGTGATTATTATTTCGGAATGTTAAATTCTAGCATATTATGATACATTTTATACAAAAAAATATTACATTATTAAATTTCATAATGATAATAATATTAAATACAAATTTTTATAATTCAATTTAAATATTAAAAAACCGGTTAATTTTGAATGGTAAATATTTATTCAAGTCATCGGCACCAGCACACAGTTTTATTTTTAAATTGGAAGACTTTTTGTCACAAAACCACAAACACCTCTGATTTGGGCAACAATTGATATGGATATCCAATTTGATGACAAATTGAATCGTGTTTATAAGATCCAGAAAAAAATGCTAAATAACGCATAAAAGTTAGACAACGAATAAGTAAAAATTACTAGCCAAATCATATTCATCCAAATTGGTCATATTCTGTATAGTTTTTATATGAAGCAGGAAAATAAACTGTAAAAGTGAGTAGAAATCTCTCTCGAACCTAGTTTTGAAAAAAAAAACCTCTCAAACTTATTTGATTATGGGTCATGAATATGGAGGACAACAAAACTTTCATCATAAGATTTCTGTTTTGCTTGAGTTTTCAGCCAAAGATGATGTGATAGCTTTCAGAGATGCTCTGGAAAAAGAGGATTGTGATGTTGATGAAATAGGGTTATGGTATGGAAAAAAGATTGGTTCAAACAAAATGAGTTATGAAGATAGAACACCTCTTATGATTGCTTCCATGTTTGGCAGCAAAGATGTAGTGTCTTATATTCTCGAAACCGGTCATGTTGATGTTAACCGAGCATGTGGATCAGATAAGGCTACTGCTCTTCACTGTGCTGTATATGGCTGTTCTGCTGATGCTGCTAAGGTTATCCAGCTTTTGCTTGATGCATCTGCAGATCTTAGTTCTGTTGATGCCAACGGTAACCGGCCGATTGACTTGATTGTCGACATGTCTGATAATATGTTCGGTTCTAGAAATACGACACTACGAGCAATACTAGAAGGTGAAGATGATGTTGAAGCAGGTTTCCAAATGGGGAATCAAATGGCGAAGCAACAACAAGGTGGAGATCCGCCGCAAATCAAGAAGAAATATTATCCCACGGATATATCCCTACCTGACATAAATAACGAGATCTATAGTACAGATGAATTTAGGATGTTTTCTTTCAAAGTGAAACCTTGTTCAAGGGTTTATCCTCATGAATGGATGGAATGTCCCTTTGTTCATCCAGGGGAAACCGCAAGGCGCCGTGATCCAAAGAAATATAGCTACACCTGTTTCCCTTGTCCCGAGTTTCAGAAAGGATCATGCAACAAAGGGGATACTTGTGAATATGCCCATGGTATTTTTGAATGCTGGCTTCATCCTGCTCAATACAGAACAAAGCTTTGCAAGGACGAGGCTGGATGCACCAGAAGAGTTTGTTTCTTTGCTCACAAACCTGAGGAGCTTCGCCCGTTGTTTGCTTCTACAGGTTCTGCTTTGCCTTTACCCACATCAGATTCATCTAGTGCTTCTTCATTTTACCCTTTCACAGTGAGCTCTGCGTCTGCTTTACAATCTGCATGGAAGCCACCTTTGACTCCATCTGTAACATCATGGCATGCTGCTAGATCTGAGTGGCAGACTCAGGCTGCAGTCCCTACATTTCAGATGCCAAGAAGAAGTTTGAAAACTGCAGTGAATGCTAGAGATAATACTGAAATTCAAGAACTTGAAGATTTCTTTAACAGGAAGCTAACGATTGAAGAGATGCCAAGTCATTCACCCCCTTCAAATTGGCTCGCAGGAGTGAATCCTACCAACTTTGAAGGCATTTTCAGGTCACAGATACCATCTCTAACAGCAATGCAGACGCATCAGAATATGAACCAGCAACTTTGGGGCAATCCTGCTGACCTTATCAATTCAAATGTGATTGGATCACCACAATTTAGGGTTGATCTATCTGTGTATCCAAAATATGATGCTTTTTCAAAGCGGAGTCAGAGCATAGCCAGCGTTAATTCCGAGCTTCCTTCTGCTTCTTCAGTTGCTATGGAGCCTTCTACCACCTTCCCTGGTTGGGGCTCCCCAGATGGTAAATTAGACTGGAGCATCAAAGCCGGTGAGCTGAATAAGATGAGAAAATCTTATTCATCCGGCTTTCAAAACTGAAGTAGCGCTTCAAAAATGGCTGCTGCACCAAATGTTGAGGAGAAAATGTTTTATTGAGCTAGGAAACTCGGATTAACTCACGGGTGAAAGATGCTCCAACACCGGATGATCAATATTGTGTTGAAGTTGAAGGGCAACTGCAATGCCAAAATCCAGAAGCGGTTCCATCTAGACTAGATTGTTTATTAAATTTTAAATTATTCATATTAATTTGAAGTTTTATATGTTCTTTATATTTATTAGGTGACGTTAAGTATTTTGCATCAGTAACAACTTGTTCCATCTAGACTAGATTGTTTATTAAATTTTAAATTATTCATATTAATTTGAAGTTTTATATGTTCTTTATATTTATTAGGTGACGTTAAGTATTTTTCATCAGTAACAACTTGTTACTACTTTTTCTTGTTGACAAAACTACTACTATTGTTCCATTGTGTTCCCTAATTGTTTGCTTTTTTTATTAGTTATAATGAATTGAGTTGTAACTTTCCAGTACTATTGTTCCATTGTGTTCCCTAATAGTTTGCTTTTTTCATTAGTTATGTTGAATTGAATTGTAACATTCTAGCAACCAAGAGAATGGTGATTAATGTAGTGGGACCGGTGAATGGAGAAGCTAGAAAATCCATTTTCAATTAAATAAAACTTGTATGAGATTTTGCAGGCTTGAAAAAATAATGTTGCTAAATTTTGCGTAATTTCCTATTTCTTAGAAAAAGATGTATACAAGAGAGATCAGAATTAATTTAATAAATAGTCTCGTCAATCTCAAGTTATTTCAGCATATGATAAATTTCTATATGGTACCACCATAGGAACCATGCACTAAATATCTTTAAAAACTGTTCTTTTCACCAACCGCAGGAGAAAAGAGAAGTTTCGAATTAAGTGTTGCTCTTCTTTTTGCCTGCTGGCCGATGCTTCGGATAAGTGCAAATATCATTATTAGTTAATATAGGGGAGGTGTTGTCACTGAAACCTATATTGAAAGCCTACTGATGGTTTAGCTCATAATCTCTTCATAGAGATTATTTTAAGTTGAAATTTATTCAAGGAAACTACACTAAACTCCGTTCAGGCTGGGCACTGGAATGACTGGATTTCATTGATAATTGATCAAAAGAATTGGGATGCAATTTTCAGCTGAAAACTACCAATCCCTAATTGACATCTTGTCAACTTAACAAGGATTTCATGTGTAATAGTTCAATTACTTTAAAGCAACAAGTATGGAATCCCAACAAACTTCTAATCAAAACAGACATAACATTTGTGAACGAGTAATCAGTTTCTAAATTAAGCGAAGAATCTGATAAATACTAGATAGACAAGAATCAAAAGGGCGATATATATTTCAAAGAATTTAATGTCACAACCAATTCCAACTCACACCTGAAGAGTACATTTCAAAAGATTTAAAAAATAAAGTCCCATATTGCTGCACTAACTCCATTTGCTAAATCGTTTAAAATTGTCATATTCCATTGACATATAGAAAATAAATGACACCATGATAGATCCCAGGAACAGATCATTTTCAAAGGTATTAGAATAGTAATGTGGGAGAACTTGCAAAACTGACAACTCAATGTTCGATGATGAATGGGATGAAGAGGGACTAAGCAATGAGTTGCAAAATGAAAACCAAAACCTTTTTCTTTTCCATCTCTTGATTAAGAGGACTATCGTGACAATTTTCTACCATCAAAATGAGAAAGCAATTTGGAGCTAGGTCTCTGTATCAAGTAATTTCTTTACATGGACTTACATAGGCATTTGCGAGCAGCTACATAATGTTTCCATAGATCCAGGTGTTACACAGGCACTCGTTTGCCTTTATAGCGATCAAACAACTGCATGTCCAGAAAATATGCTCAGTTTGATAATTCCAGCATGTTAAGCAAATGAATGCATAGAGAAATCAACATCTAGCAAAAAGGCCCAGTGTTGTCCATGGTGGATGGCATCCATGGCGGAGAGCCAAAATTCCACCATACCAGACGCTTTGTGGCGCCGTTATAGCGGAAAACCCCGCAATGTTGGCCAATATTTACCATTGTGGCGAGCCCAAAAACCGCCATGTATATCCGCCATAGTGCCGCAATTGCAGATATTTGATAACAAAAAAGCTAAAAAAATATCTACATCATCTTGAGATACTTCAGTCATTCAATGATCCCTGGACAGAATAACTGAACTAACTATTCTTTAAGACATGGTACCAACAAAAATAAGATCCCCACAGTCAGTGTCAGTTGCTATAGATTCTTACTTCCAAGAGCATCACTAATTATATGGTAACATGCATACTGTCATAAATGTAAAATATTACATGAATAGCAATAATAAAATGCATGTACGAATACTTGTATGAAAAATAAGAAAACAATTTAGCTGAATTGCTTACCGATCGAATATATGGCTGTTGAACAATCCAACCAAGAACAGGAATCTTCTGCAAGAAAACAGAGAGTGTAGGCCAGAATCCACTGCAAAAATATAATCCCACCATTAGCCTTTAGGTATGTAAATAATTGATAAAATAATTTTGTTAAATTTCAACAAAACCTGAAGAGCACGAGGAACCCGTAAGATTCCACAATCATGCCTAAAATAGGCCATCCTAGTAGAAGAATCAAGAATCCTACACCAAATGAAACTGTCCCCTACACAACCACAAAATGATAAGTTGAAGCGGAAAATTTAACATGAAATGAAACACAAAACAAAAGAGGCGGTAAACGAATAACTCACTTACCTTGAAATTACTACGTTTCATGAAGAATTGCATGGTGGATTTCAGTCCAATGGTCAGAGATACTCCAGAAACAAAGAGGATCTAATTTAAGAGACAAAACAAAGAACATTATAGAAGCTCTTATTAAACAAAATCACACAAGCAGAAGATAAAAAGTTAAGCAAGAAACTTATCAATTGTCATAACACAAAACTTACATTTCCCATTGCTAGCAAACCCTTGTCAAAGAAAAATATAACACCAAGGAATGAGAAAAATATTCCAAAGCCTGTTAATCCCAACCCTATCTCTGTTCATGTTTCAATTGCAAACACATATATTAGAATTATAAATTACAATTACAGATAAAACACGGCCCCGTCAAAATTGAATTTGCGAATAATTTATTTTAGGAGCAATTGTAAATTCTTTAATAAAATACTCTACCCTAACATATGAGCACATGAGATAACATAGAAACTATGAAGCACGGACACATGCCTTTTTTCATAGGTGTCGGTGCTACATAGAATAGAAGAGACACAGACACGCCTTTTTTCAGAGATGTCGGTGTTACATAGCATAGAAGAGAAAATCATATGATAATATCATTGCCAGTGTAAACAGAAACAAAAGTAAATTAGATCTCACTTACTCTTGCGATCATTCATCTCAAAGGAAACCATTTGAAACCAAAAATTCAAATCTTCAAAGGCTTGCTTTCACTAGAACAAATAATCAAAGAAACAAAGTTGGTTAATATATTATAAGAGATTAAATACTATGATCAGACAGTTAAGAAGATCATACTACAACATCTTAACCAAAGTAAATGAGATAGAAAAATTCTAGAAGAACCGTCTCGAAGGTATTACAAATCTATTCAGATCCCAGTGGTTAAAACATAACTGTAAGTTTTCCTATTGATTCCAAATTGATCAAAACACGCCACTCTAATACTCAACAGTCTACAAACAACAAATTGGGTAATATTTCTTTTCTTCAAAATTTTCCATAATGTCAATGCAAAATGCAATAGATGAAATGAAAATATGGAAAGTTGAAAACAAGCACCAATCATCATAATAGTTCAACCTCAAAGCAAATAATTGTAGTTATAACCTAGCAGGTTCGAAAATTAACATCTATTCCCTTCTAAATAACAATGACGACGATTTTTAAGCCTTTCAAAATCGAAGGAGAAATTGATCAGAAAAATTCATGCGAAGAAGATAGAAGTGTTAATCAGATCTCACATCGCATGGTGGATTCGAAATGGAAGGAAATGGGATCCAACAACAGGAACATCAAAAAACTAAGATTCACGAAAAAGTTTTTGCGCGGTGATTTTGTGTGCGTGTGTGTGAGAGAGAAAGAGAGAAGTTACCGGTTGCCGGAGAGTGGAGTCGCCTTAACGTGGTGGCGATTGCTCCGGGATCGGTGGCGGAATTTGGGGTTTGGGTTTGACGAAGATGGAAATGATTGTGTAGAGGCGCGTGAACTACAGTACGATTGTTTTCAGTGTTTTTCAGTTTCTTTACTTTGCTTCGTTTTGTTGGTTCAGTTTTTTCGTCATTTTATTGCATAATAAAAATTGCAATCGATGATGTTGTTCGGCCAATTAGAAAGCTATACTCTGCGTCTTCTCAACGAAGAAAACTCATGAAGTTTGCCTTTTTATTTTATTTTTCCTTAATTCATCTTTAACTTGTTTATTAAATTATTTTAATTCCATAATTAATTATTCTCATTTTTTAGATTTCATAAATCTATTTTTGTTGATTAAGTTATAGTTCATTAAAGTTTTAATTTTAAGTATCTAATTAGAGCATAAGATAATGAGGCATACTTTTTTTAAGTAATTCTAATAAAAAGAAATTCTAATAACCAACTTTTTAAAGTAATTCTCAAAGTATTAGGTTGCAAACAAATAAAATTGATATAGTAGAGGACATATAAGATGAATTGGTGTATGTATTAAAAAATTAAAAGTTGACGTTAATTGACGAATAAAATTTAGGAGGAGGTGTGAATTCATCTAGCGTCTCTGTGGAATTTATTTAATTAAAATAATAAAGTATATAAAAAATATTAATATTTAATTTAAATATAATTACATCCGATAATATTTTTAACACTAACTACGATGATCGGCTTTATCATACATATAGATGGTAAATGGGCATGCATGTCCCGTTTAAACTCGCCCGGCAAAAACTCGCAAAAAAAATGGAGTAGGGCGGACATAGTTGAGAATGTGGGGCTAAATCCTACACCCGCCCCGCACTAAAAGTGAGGGCAGTGCAGGACGAGTCAACGGGCACTACATACTTTAAGTCTAAAAATACAAAATTTATTTTAATGTATATGTCTGCAAAAGCGTGCAAAAAATGGGGTGGGGCGAGACGGACGCATTAGATGGTGCAAGCATAAATCATTGGTCCACCCCCATACTACAGTGCAGGCAAAACGGACATGCCCGACGAGTCGGCCCTGTTTTGCTACCCCTAGTCATACTCGTCATCGGTTTCACACCCCCTAAGTACCCTTTCTCGTACCAATATATATTTATTCACCTCAGGTGTTTGATATGAGGTCCCAAGAACATCACCATCAGTCCATCATTAGATTCCCTAATAAGTTCTTGCATTTTTACTTATTCTTTTGTATACATTGATACGTTGTCGTAACTGAGTTTATGACTCATGTCGGTGTAGTTGGGTTGTGTTGATGGGGATATTGGTGAGCAACATGGTCGATTGAATGGTGACATTAGTGTGAATGATTCATTTGAGAAAGGAAAAAATGGTTGATATGGCATTTGGTTGCCATATGTTTGTTGCATATTTTAGTGTTATGATGTTTGGGTGTTTTGGCTATGGTAGGAGGAAGTGTTAGTGTTATATGTTTCTTGCATGTTTTGGCTATGGTAGGATGATATGTTAGGGCATATGGATGTTAAGTTTTTTATAATAAGCATTTTGTTGGTGGTTGTAAAGGGCATGCTCTTGGATTTGTGGTTGGGTGTCTAGCATGTATTGGTTGTGGGTTTGAGTGTTTGTGGGTCGACAATTTTGTTGCATATGGGGTTGTGTGTAAGTGGACAGGTAATTTTGTGGGGGGTTAGATGTTGAAGCTCCTTGTGTGTATGTGGTTTCGCGTGGGTCGTATAAATACCTATCTTTGTAGAAAAACCCAATTGTAATTGATTTGTACCAATACATATAATTATTAATTGGTTTAGATTCGGTTAGCATGACAATGTCGATTAAGACTCGTTGACGACAGTGCCTCCATTGACGACACTCGGCTTTAGCGAATTATTTTCAATCAAAGGCCCATTGTTCATTAATTTTACATTGATGACATTGTCTGAGGCATGCCGGGGGATTTGGGATTTGTTTATGCATGTCGTACTGCAGTTTCACACAGTCACTATGGTGTATTTATGACACTCTATCATTGCATATTTTCTGTCGAAGAAACAAAGAAAAACAAGTCGAAGATAATCAAATTTGATGAATAATAACCAAAGAACTGAGCAAAAATGACCAAGTATGAAGAATTGGGGACTTAGAGAAATTTAGCCGAAAAAGGAGCAAAAGCGAGCAAGTCATTGGAATAATTGTGCGTTGCATCGCCCATGGAAGAGCAACCAATGCAGCAACGCATGCGCGATGGGTCCTTTTTCTAGGCAATTTCTGACATGTTTTAGTACAATTTGATGGCTATAAAAAGGTTGAGTTTAGACTTATTTAGGGGTTCTGCGATTGGAGATTGGAGAGAACGATTTACAACAGTAGAAGTGAGTTTTGGAGCGCATTTGAAGCCATTGGAGAGAACGATTTAAGAAATTCTTATGCAATCTTATTCTTATCAATTGGTATTGTAATTTTATCAGTATGAGTAGCTAAACACTTTTAAGTTAGGTTTTTTCTGATGAAGTTGTTTTGGACCTATTAGGACATATGTTTAATTTGTTGCTGCATGAATTATCTTAGTTATATTTCTATTTAATTGCTTCTTTTACTAAAGTGCACTATTTGAGATACTATGTTAATGTAATTATGGACGTATATGGAATACTGACCCTTAGCCTATGCGTCTGATCTAGGGCAATTATCGTATTTACGCTAGTTGAATAGTTATATGAGACTTTGAGTAGTGGCCTTAAAGTTAATGTATAGTATCATCGTCTGATTTCACTTACGCCGGTTGAATAAAGATAGGAGAGCTCTAGTAGGAATCAGTGAGTTATACACCAAAGGATTGGGTATAGTGGTCTTGTTAACTTGTCGTGAAAATATGACGCTTGATTTATGTAATGCATTAGACATCAACAGGGGGAAATAGGGGATTATAGGCAAAACCTGACCACTTTCTATAAATTGTCAAAACACTTCTTTTCTTTTCAACTGCAAACTTAAACCCTCTCCCAATTGTTACTTTATACTTCCACAACTATTTCTTTGTTAAATAGCAGCCAGCGTGGATTCGACAATCTTTTTTGTTACTGCGACATTATCTGCACACTTACCTTAAAGTCACCATGTATCTCCACGGTGGTGAATTTGATTATCAGTATGTATACAGTCTAAACAGTTGCATCTTCTTCGTTGATGTAATGATGTGTTCTAGATCTATATATTGCCTCCAAATAAACTGTTGAGGAAAAGTAATATAGATTAGTAAATGGGTAATGTTTAAAATTATTTATTATAAAACTATTCTCTTAGTGGCAATACATCGTCTGGAGTTAGGTAATCCAAGAGATTTCGATAGACCGTAATGTAATGTCTAGGACATCACTTGCAAGTTATCCCACAAGCCGACCACCTAAACCAAAAAAGTTAAAATGAATTATTTATAAGTAATAATGGTAAAGTAAGTAAGTGGAAATAATGTTATTAACTTTGTTGCGTAGGGGAATGTGAAGTTGTTGTGGTTGATAGGCACTAGGGACGACAATTTAGACTAACCTCGTGCTTGAAGCAAAAGGGTGCATCCATAAAATCTATATGTGTCTTTCTTTGTGTTTTTACACAAAGCGCTATAGAGATAGGACAAACAAGTTGAACCCCGACTGTATGTTCCTATTTTATCTATGTTTCTTAATAAGGGTAAATACATAACATGTATACTAGAATTAGTACCTTCGGGAAATAATAGTGAACCAATTAATAGTGTAACACCCTTTTCTACCCCACAAATTAAATGTCAAAATATTCACATTTATCATAGTAAAATATTAAACTCAATAAAAATCACCTCAAAGGGCGTACATTTCCAAATCAATCAAATATAGGTCAAGGCTCCGTAAACAACGGGTTTTCCCAAAAGATATCAAAAATTTCTCAAAAGGCAGCGGAACTCAAAAGGCATAATCCAAAGTTTTCCTTGTACGGAAACATAATCGAAATAACAACAATCAAAATAAAACATGGTTTAACTCAAAGACCTCAACCCGATGTTACACTATCAGAGCAAAACCCTCTAAGTTAACCAAAATGGCCAACAACTCAAAACTCCAAAAAGATCCTCGAAGGCATCCACAGCTAAACCTAGTCATCTGCACGTTACCCACGTGAAGGCAACATTCGAACAGGCAGGGTGAGTAAAACGATTCATAATAATCAATATAGGAGTTCAATATATAAAATGGCGTCATTTTCATATTCAACATCAT